GAAAATGTATGTGGAATTTGAAAATGTGAAACATCTGAGGAGCATGTTGATGTGTTTCCGAGAATATGACACTTTGACTAACTTACAGCTGTTTGATAGCCACATTTTATGAAGAAAGCCAAGTTGGCAGTTACAGGATAAAGGTGGCACAAGTCTTAACAATAAATGTAATTAAACAGTGTTATGCATGTTAGGATTTCTAACATTAGCCAACATAGCTAATAGCCACACCAGACCAAGAGACGCTGTTGTGACAAAACTCCTGAAAGCATTGCATTAACAGAGGAGCGTTTCATTGCTGAAGAAATTAACTTTTTATTTGCAAGGGAAAGAATGTTTTATAGTTCATTTGAAAAGTTATAGTCTGGCCTTAGGAAGTATTCAGAAAGTCAAAGCCCTTAAAACATGGTTTGACCACAGTTTATCTGGAGAAACCTTTAACACTGGCCATTTCCCTGAAACCAAACGCTATCTGCAGACTTCCTTTATAGCCACGGTACATATTGTCCACTCTCAGATTAAGTCTACCGCATAATTACAAGTGAAAGGCTGCATACTGTGTAGGAGCCTTTAATTGCACTCCACAGATTGTTAGGTATAGTTCCTCTCACCAACTTTCTTATTCCTTCACATGCACTAAAGGTAATGTGATGTCACATGTTCCACAGTCATTACAGGAGCACAGACACATCCAAAGTGTGAAAAGCCCTCTGGCACTTATACCAGGGCCTTTTTTCAGCTCTGCATTGACTGAAAAAGGTGGCATGAATGTTTCAAATAGTCTTTTTGTGGTGTTTGAGAGAGAGAAAGAAATATTTTATAACTTGTTTTTTGATCTGCTTTAGTTTATGTTGCCCTTATCCACCATCTGCTGCAACTCCCACCTTGTTAGTATAAGCACAACTACAGTATAGCATTCCCATCATTGTCTGATTACACCATGATTTTTTCAGCAGTACTTTTGGTTGGTTTTCTCAGAAAAGCAGCTTGGTCAGCACGCAAAGGAAATGTGCATTATATGGCCATGTTGAACTAATGTTAAGGTCAAAACGCTAAGCACTCTATCTGAAAAAACAACCTACTATGCGGTAGAAATCTTGTGACCATCAGCTGTTTTAAGTGTGAGTAACTGAAAACACTGCACTGATTCAAGACTCCAAAAGAAAATTACCCACCGTGCTGTTTCTACGTGTCGTAAACAAGCTTGTGACAGCTTGTGTTAAGTGTTGCCTTATCTCAGTTGAAAAATGACAGATAAAATACGGTCGACTTAAGGCAGAGTTCCAGTTTATGAAGGAGACGCAGCATTATTTTACGACTTGAGTGAATATTTATGCCATGGAATCCTCTGAGTTAAAAGATCCCCACATTTTTATTTCTCCTGGGAGTTGTGAAACTATGTTAATAAAAACCTATCGTTCCCTCGCAGAACAACAGTATGTGATATTTTTTTTTTTTTTAAAACACCATGATATCTGTGATGCAGGGTGCTGTGCTCCCTTGTTCACTTTCCTGTAGCGTATTGATCTTTTTCTGGGATTGTTTATAGGACTCTGTGAGTCTAAAAGGAGACCTATTGATTTCCTGTTTGGGGGTTCTGATCTAAGCCTCACCCGTAAAATTAAACACATAATAAAATAAGTCAGCTTAATCATTAATAATGAGTCTCCACGGTGGAAAGATACACTTTTAATTGTAATCTTTAATCGTTGCGGTGTTTTTTGTTCTAGTTTTATGATATCTTTAAGGAGCTCTTACTGTACTGAACCTCCAGAATGACTCTTATATGAAACAGCATGTGATGTGTTTTTATTGTTAGTTTTATTAAGCAATAATGGCTGTAACTGCCGATGCTAACTACCCACGTCTTCTTCTTTTAATCCATACAACTGCATTTCTTATTCACACATAAATCCTATCACTTAAACACAACAACAACAACAACAACAACCAATGTTTAAAGATGACAGATGGAGTAGTCAACTAGCACATTACACATTATAGCTTTGGCCTTTTTATGTGTTGGCCGCCTGTTTAAATTAACTTTTTTAGGATAATTTGCAACTTAATTCCACGTTTACTGTGTTTACACTCATGGCAAGCTTCATCTGTACAGGAATAAACTGCAGACATAAACCTAACAACCACAGCCAAGCCACTATCTGTAATGAGTTCAAACAAGACAGAGATAATAACAGATGCCGGAGGATGAGCTGGGGTTGGGGTGACGGCCTCGTGAACTGGGTATGAGGCTGGATTTTACTACGCCGTGTAAACATATCTCATTGTGTCCTCCATTTTTATTGTGGTTTTGACACAGATTCTGGCAAGGTGAGACAGATTGATGAAATATGGACGTCTATAAACACCAAAGCCGGGAGTGTTGGCGACAAACGAGGTTGGATTTTCAGATCTGATACTTTAAACAATCCCTTTCTCTGACAAATCCTAAAGTATCTCGGCTGTCAGGAATAATAGGAGATCAAATTTGTACTGAGGTTGCCCTCTACATCCCCTGTCTATCCATGCCCCATAACTGTCACTTTCCAGTACAGTAACACATGGTGCTACATGAGGATGAATATCTAGACTTACTTTTTTAATATGAAGAAATCTCTCACTGATATTTTAGAGAGAAAAGGAAATCTGGATGATAATTGTTTTGATATACTACTATAATACATGTTGTAAAAGGTCCAACATGCACTAATTATACAGAACTGCATGTCTACATTTAGTTTTTAACAAGTAGTGGATATGGCATGTTGGTCTTTGCAGAACGCTTGCGACGTTGTGAAATGTTTACAGAGGCAGGCTGTTAAATAAACTGCACAAATGACTGAGGCAATGTAAGCTCATTCAGCAGCGATGATGCAGTCAAGGGCAGCGGTTATTCGTCTCAGGCTGATCTCCTGATAGAACATGATGCCAAATGCAGACATCCCTTTGGCTCACTGCATTTTGCGCTATAGGCAAGAGTTTGATGTTTGGTTGAGAGGACAGGGCAGCAGCAAAGTGGATGCTTGGAGCGCTTCCAGGGATTAAACTCATGAATCTAACAGCAGCCAGTGGTCATCATGACACAAACACTGCATGGGTGGTAAGGCATGCACAGCGTGGGGTCCTTGGCTTTGGAAAAAAAGGGAAACATTGAAACCATAAAACCATAAACGCCTGCAGTCTTTCCTTCCATCTTCATACTGCACATTTTATGTGAAGTACATTTTTATTAGATGTGACATATGTTTTGTGGCCCATGTCTCGCTAAAGCTGTGTTTTGATGATGAGTCACCTAATGATGAATAAAAGACACATTTTTATTTTTAATTCCTTATTTTTAAGTCTAGTTCATTAATATAGCCATTTTAAAGTTCTGTGGAGAGGAGTTTTTTGTCACCATGATCACAACTTAATTCTCCTGTTATCTCGATAAATCATACTTTCTTTACTTGTGATTATAATTGCATTATCTTATCACCACAAGCTAACACTGAACTGAAAACCTTAATGATGTGACTAAATATGGTTCCAGTCAAGTACAACTTTTAAGAAAAAGAAATCATCACATGTTGAACTCATGGCTGAACTTCATGTTGTTTAAGACATGTGATTCCTCGTGAAGTATTGAAATCGCATGAAATGTGCCTGAAGTCTTCACTTGAAGTGGTCTTTCCACAAGTGATACATGTGTGTTGTCTGGGATAAATGCATGCTTCTATAGGAACAACATGCTCAACACTAGGGGTAAATACTCTACAGATGATAAACTGTATGATTTGAATGTTTGCAAACCTCAGTTTAGCACAAAGCTAGCAAAGTCCCATACTAAATGTGCATATTATAGCATAACTCGTTTTTCTTGAATTCAGATTCAAACAAAGCAAGTTCAACATCTGCACAGTAACGTTAACAGCAATAATTTATTACATGTACCCGTACGAATGAAATATACCAGATTACAGTGTCTAATCTGGTCAAGGCAGGGCACCGGATAAAGCATTTATAAGCTGCATTAGTTTGATTACTCTAAAACCCCAGCGTTTACAGGCTTGGTTCAGTAATCAGGTTCCCTCTATACCTTCTCCAAACAGAATCTGACACCATTAAAGGCTCCAAACATCAATGCACCATGTAGCACAGATTAATTCACTTGCAAGGCATTGAAGGGTTCACTTGCAAATCACAACTGTATCACCCATCCTAAAATCAATGCCTGAGAAAGTATCTTCAGCTACAGGGAAGTAACTAAGTTGAAATTCAATGTGATGTACTTAATTACTGTAAAATAGCATCTGTAGACATATCATGGCTGTTTTCACTGCAGTAGTTTTAGCTATGTCTACCTAATAAAGGGGCAATTGAGTATTTTATTTGGTCCTATAACAATAATATAATATAGAAAGTAGTTGCAGTAGTATAAGTCATACAGTATCACAACAGGAGGAAGGAGAATATGTGGATTTCATGTAGTTCGACTTGAAATACAGATAGCCTACATCAGTTTGAAAAATATAATATGTTACTAGAAAGTGTCTTGTGAATACATTATCATGAGGCATCAGTAGAAAAATGGACTAAAACACATGCTACTTTTCCCTGGCATGATGTTGCCGGTGTATTTATGGTTTTACTTCAAACAGCCTCCCAAATGTAAGTGGCCATTGTCCCCGATCCACGGCTTCCAGGGTTTTAACGGAAGCAGGGAGTCTAACTGCAGCCTCATGAAATAGCCATGTATTGATTAATTCAAACCCACACTCAACCTCTGACATTGCAACTATTAATCAGGGATTATGCAAATGTCAAGAAAGCGGATGCACACAAACACTTGACTCGCATTATTAAACTTGAACATCGCACGGCAGTTGAAACGCAGCCCCGCTGGAACACTAATCCCATTCTTCTTCTATCTTCCTTTTGTTTTTGTCGGTCGTGTGATTTTTTTTTCTCCTCCTCTCCTTATTTTCCTCCCCTTCTCTCTTTTTTTTTTTTCTTCCTGCGCCGTGTTCTGCTGGGGACTGGTGAATGGCAGCCAATGGGAGGGTTGAGTCCCCTCAGCCTTTCAGCCTCCCTGACATCCACAGCGAGAAGTGATGCAGCGCGACTGAGACGCGCAGTTGAGGTGGAACAACGGGCAACAAAAGCTGCAGTGAACGGATACACTTGGCTCCGACGCGCGCATTCGCATCCCAGGGAAACAATTCCTTCTTAGAATAAACTTCATTATCAGGTGAGCGGGTCTTTGCTTACAACTTCTGTGCAAAATGTCGCTTTTGTGACTTCTTCTGTAGCGTTTTTGAGTCGGGTTATTATAGGCTGCGAATGACCTACACGAAACGGCTCCTTTTAAGATCTCCCCGTGTGTTTATTCTAATGAAATCGCCAGTGGAGCAAAATCCATAATAGTAATTATTGGAATAGCTGCGGGCTTTGAATTTTAAATGAGTTCCAATCGGAAGTTGTATTTACCGAACTTAAAGCGGTGGTCAATGAATTGCAATCAACTTTTTACATGTTGTTAAATGGCTCTGTGCGTAATTCTCCTGCATGTATACCGAGGCGGAACGTGCCCCTCCGGTACAGAGGCGGTGTGTTTGCCCCGTCGCGCAGAAGTGATGCGAGCATGCGGGCCTGGGCTCTAAACGCACCTTTGCCTTATTTTGTCACACATGAAACTTCAGGCCCTTTTGAAAAAAAATACGCTTAAATCTATCGGTGGATGTTTTTTTGCCCCACCTCCCTCTCCTCCGATGATCTTGCTGCAGCCAGTAGCAAATCAACGGGATGCCAATCGATGCAGGTGGGACAGCAGGCTCTGATAAAGGCGGATGCCTGTCTATCTGTGGTTGCCTGCAGTCGTTCTGTGATGCCTTTTATTCTGCTTTCTGATCGACTGAAAGGCCTTGATTATTTTTGGTATGGATGTGAGGGGAACACTCCTGGAGTTTACTCAAGTTTTCTCAAAACAACATGTCCTCTAGCTTATTGACTACAAGATGATATCAGTGATGTGGTTGTGAATATTTAATGGACTTGCTGAATAATGCAGGCAGGGCTATAAAAGAATTAACTCGCCTTCTTTACTCAAAAGTTGCAGGTATTGACAGAGGAGGATAAAGAGGTGTGGTGGATCTAACAGGACTTATGCAAGCCTGAAAATTGAATTTAGTGCTCGTGAAAAAGTTGTGTCCTTCCTGTTGCCTGCAGATTGCTCCATGGTTGTTATTGCGCTGGCTCAATGTAAGCCTGAGGTAATATGCCTGAAGGCGGCCAAGAAGTTGTTTAGGGGTGTTTTCAAGCTATCTGGGGAATATTCCGCAATAATCACTGCTCTGCTCACATACTTTTTGAATAACAAACAAGAGAGAGATTCATGCTGGCTGTGCAAAGGAAACTACATTTGTGAAGAGTATAGGTTAACTACATTGCATTGTCTTCTTTTCTTTTTCTATTGGAACAACTTCCTGCTTGTTTTTTTAGAAAGCAGAGAGCAGCCTGGTGAACAGAGATTGTCTGAACCAGAACAGGTTTTGTGGTCCAGGTTTTTCACACGCTGGTTTGAAGTTCAGAGATGAAAGGGACAGAGTAGAATCTGTGGCTGATCAAAGTCATACAGAAAACACGGCAGGTACTGAATATTTAAAGGTTCTGCAAATACAGTTCCTGTGTGTGTGTGTGTGTGTGTGTGTGTGTGTGTGTGTGTGTGTGTGTGTGTGTGTGTGTGTGTGTGTGGGGTGGGGGGGGCAAATAGTAGCCTACAGCAGTGTACTGTATATGTGCTTATGGTCAGTATGGGTCAGAGATGTGTGAGCACTTGGTTTGAAGACATTCAAAGTGCGGAACAGACATGACAGGCAGGGGAATAGACACATAAGAGCCATCTGCATTTCTTAAACCCGAGATAACAAGAGACACTCCCTCATATTTCATCTTTCCCCAAAAATATCTCTCCCCCCCGGGTCATGTGCAGCAGCTTAGGGGATACTCCAGAAAAGCTTCAATCTGCCCTGTCTGGCCCTGTGACGTCACGGGATGGCGGGTTTACCCGAGGCCAGACCACGATGACCGGTGACCCGAGTTGATTACATTATTTGTGCTCCAGATGGGCGACATCATTCTGATGTGTCCTGCTCATAATATTGAGCGTTTCTGGTCCTCTCTTCTGCAGCATCTGGAGCTAATCAAATCATATTCCAGTATACTGCTGGAGCAAACTCTGATCCCCTATGGGAATGCCTACATGCAGCACTTCTCCTCCTCTGTGCTTGGTTACTTGTGGACATTTGTTGAGCCCATATGTACCGCAAGTGGCTCCTAATATGTGTGTGTTGCGCTTACAAATGTTTGAAGTCTGTTGCAGAGAGCACCCCTGGGCATTGTAGTTCACTAGATGCACCTTGATTGTTTGAGTGCATTAGTCACGGTCTGTATGATGTGATAATAAATCATGACGTTGTTTGTACTGCGAGTGCTAAGGGATTCCTCCTAAGATTCTTCCTGTGCCAAGTATTTATCTGGAGTTGCCAGCCAACAGGGCTTCTCTTCTTCCCTTTTTCTTTTCTTTTCTTTCTCTAGAACAATAGCTCTGCTGTATAGGACAGACTTTGCCTGGCCAGTTTGTGAAGAATTTTGACTTTTTCCTTCACAGAGACATCGCGTCTATTTCTCGCTGTGTCTTGTGACCATCAGAGCAAATCTCCTGCAGGCACAAAGGCAACTTAATAACTGCTCCTTGTAATGAGACAGATTCCCTTCAGAGACACCTATTTACAGAGCAGTCACAACCGCAAATTCAAAGAAACCTAAAAGACGTATTTCTCACCCACCAAACCACAGAGGCAAGAGACCGTGACGTCTGTTTTTACTTTAATAAACTCTTTGCAGGAGCCGGAGTCACCTTCTCCTGAAGGTCGACCTTAGTCTCAAATTGAATTTGCTACGACAAAAAAAGACGCTAGAATTAGACGGGATACGGTTAAGCCACAGCGAGGATGTTTCTCGACAGGTTTCAGCTCAAGGGATTTGAGAGCTGGACGGAGGCCTGGAGAGTACAACGTCGCTGTCTGTCTGCCTAAATCCCAGAAAAGACCTGTTTTTCTCACTGTGTGCTGAGAAGGTAAATACACATGGATCAGACCATTTACACCTCACTTAACAATGGCTAATTATCTCTTCATGCTTTGTGCAGCAGAACACCAATTACACAGAGATATACTCATAAATCTATTTTGAAAGTGGTAGGACTGGGATATGGTGTGTGTGTGCGGTGGGAATGTATACTGTAGATGAAGCTGATAGTATACAGTGCATACTTAGAGAGTGGCTGATAAGAGAATAGTCCGGCTTCATACAGTATGGCACACTAGGATGGATGTGACTATGAAATCACTTAGTTTCATGTCTTTGGGGTGGGAGACAGAGTAAATTGCTGCCAATGTTGAATAATGTAGTGTGCCAACAGCTTTTTTTTCTCCCTCTTCCCCCTCAAACTGTGGCTTGGCTCCACGGCTGTTCTAATTATGAAGTGGTTGAGAGATAGCTTCACAACTCCGATACTGTAGTGATGGTGAGGGGAAGCTGGCCGAATAGCAATCTAACTGAATTACCAACAAAGCCTGACAGACTTGTGGAGTTTAGTGAACACATTGGCAAAAAGTAACATCCCTACCTATTCCGTCGCAGAAATGTAGACACACACATTGGATAACATACACATTTTGAATTAAGCACACACAAACAACACACAGGCACAAATGCAAGCAAACAAACACAGTAGAAAGAGGCAAGGTGTACAGTTCTCCGCACGCTTCTCAGCACAATTTAACAAGATATATTAGTCACCCAGGAGGCAGCAGAAAGCCAGGCGTCCTCAGTGTACAGCAGACTGCAGTCTGACAGTGGGAGATAGTGATTTACAACAAAGCCCTGTAGACCATGGCACAATTTCTGAATTTCTGAAATGACACTGGTAAAGCGGGGCCATGAAAGTATATACACTAGCTACGTCTCATTTCTTACACCATTTGCCCCGGGAAGGGGAGGGTGCAGATTGAAGGGGCAGATGACAAATGCAGTGTTGTAGCTACCACACAATGACGAGTTCAGCCTGTCAGCAGTTGGATTCTGTTTTCGGTGTCATCTACAATATGAGCAAAAACGAGAAGGAATCTACCTTCAAGGACGTTTCCTCTTTCTTAAATGCGAGGTGAAATCGATTTACTGACCCTGCGAGGGTACTGTTAAGGTTTGGATTGGATTTAGAATTAAATCTCTATATCCAATATGTGGGCGGTGGGAACAATAATCATATAATAGTGGAAATCACTGATCACTATCAAAATCTAATCAACTGGTCCTTGGCTGGCGGCTGATCTCCCTGCACCAAATTTCATGGACATTTGCTCATGAGCTTTGCAGACACCCTGCTGATTTACAGATTAATTTACAGAGGTGACGATGCAACTTCCTTAACAGAGCTACAAAATGTACCACCTATGCAACATGAGTAATGCACTTTACCAGAAATTAAAGTTATTGTAAGAGACAATTTGCTAATCTACGGAAGAGGATTAGGGCCACATTAAAAAAAAAATTGGGAGGTTTTGAAAACAATTTTTTTTTTTTTTCTGAGACATAAATCAGAATTCTGACTTTTTTCTCCCAAAAAAAAATGTTTTTTTGTTCTGAGATTAAAGTCAGAACTTTTTCAAATCCTCCCAAAAAAAATAATCATGTGGCACTAATCCTCTTCCGTACTAATCATGACTTGAGAGTGGGGGAGTCTCTAAAATAATGAAGTTTATATAACTATTGATTTATACAAACTTGAAAGATATGCATTTGATTAATTAATGAATTAATACTATCATCAAAAATGAGCTTTTTCTATTCTTTTTGATTGTGGTATTCTGTCGAAATGTCCTCCTCCCATCCTGAATATATTTACACTTTATCCTTTAGAAGATACAAGTTATTCCTCTTCAACTTTTCTGGCAATATAGATGTTTTGGAAAGGGATAAGATAGTGTCCTTTATGACTTGTGTGTGTTTCAGTCATGGTTTGAGGTAGCTAGTGTAGAAGAGTGTGAGTGAGTGCAGCAGACAGATCATGTCCGCAGGTCCTGCCTTTCCTCTCTAGTTGGATCCCTGTCTTTGCAAAGCCCACAGTAAGTGGACTGAGGAACGCTAAACACTGTCTGGGGGAAGGCTGCTGAACATGACAGCCAGTTA